CTCACTGACACACACACACACACACACAAACACACACACACACAACCATCAATACACTAAAGCAGAGATAGTGAACACACACACACACACACACACACACACACACACACACTAGGGATGTCCTGATCTGCTTCTGGAGTCTGAGGGATTGATGCGCTGCTTCTGTAGCAGATGAAGTCTTCAGCAGAGCGGAGGCAGATGCAGGCGGTTTCTAACACTCCTCATCAGTCTGAGCTCTTCCATGAGGCAGCTTGAGCTCTCCAGAGATGATACCGTGCCCTCTTCACGTCTGGACTTCAGTGCTGCAGGAAATATTGAAATGATCCACTATAAACACAGACAGCAGCTCCACCTGAAGCAGTCGGCCGGCAGACTCGCGTGTCCATATCTCACAGTCCACTAGCACCGTGCTGTCGTCATCAGCTGCAGACCGCAGACAGCAGCCGGGTCTCATTCCAGAGGCTGCATCCTCTGAAGGGTGCATTTGAAGGCTGCTGCATCACTGTGGCGCTGCGTCATCACCACGCTCCTGCAAATCCAGCCTCAGAACGTGTCCTTCATTGCCCAGGTGATGAAGAAGACAACCGGTGGATCCTTCACAGCCTCGAACATCTGAGACTGATCACACGCTGATAACGGCAGGAGGATTACAGCAGATGAGGCCGCATTGGAGATCTGAACACACACTACTGAAGAGCAGTGTGAGATGTGTGACTGACGGCTGCTGTTACACACAGGTCACATGTTCATCTGCTCATGTGTGGGTCAGGAGAGATTTCTCCAGCGGTGTACGCCTCGCTTCACCTTCAGCTCGCTTAAAATAGGTTAAGATCAGTCTGGAAACAGGTTGAAGACGTGGTATTACGCTGTGACGGCGGCTGAGGATGAGATCTGCCCTCTGTAGGCGAGATCGTCTCATTTCACAGCGCTCGCTTCAGCCTGTGTGGACGATGAAGGACTCCCCTGTGAAGTCAGCACTCTTCAGATGACGCAGCCTCTGAGATGAGACGCCTCCATACTCGCGCTCGCCGCCGCCGTAAAAGCGTGTCTGCAACAGTGATGTCACACACTGCTGATCGAGTGTGGAGTCAGGAAGAGCTCGAGCGCTGAACTGCAGGAGTGATCAGACACAACCATAACCCACGCCTGATGGAGAGGAAACAACACTGATCCAGTCTGAAACTGTGTGATCGGGCCTGATCTCTGATCAGATCTGGACATCCCTAACACACACACACACACACACACACACACTCACACACACACACACACTCTCTCATACACATACTCTCACCCACACACACTTGTGCTGCTACAGAGGGCTGATGGGAAACAAACCACTGTGCCGAACGCTGCCCGCCTGCCGTTAAACACACACACACACACACACACGCACACACACACACTCTCTCTGAGGAACACTACAGACTCTGCAGGATGTCACAGACTGGTTGATTCTGTCCTGTTGAACTTCAGCCTTGGATGATGAGCAGAACCACAGCAAACGGAGGAGACATACACACACACACACACACTCACACACACACACACACACACACACTCACAGTGGGAAACACTGCTGTCTTCATTTGACTGTCAGACTCTACACTCATTTCCTCACGGTCATTATTTCAGTAGTTGTGCTCATAGGAGTGTGTGTGAGAGAGACTGATCTTCAGTTTGAGGATGATGATGGTGAAGCTGCAGACGTGTGTGTGTGTGTGTGTGTGTGTGTGTGTGTGAGAGAGACTGATCTTCAGTTTGAGGATGATGATGGTGAATCTGCAGACGTGTGTGTGTGTGTGTGTGTGTGTGTGTGGAGGTCAGACGTCAGCAGTGTATCATGTGTCTCACCATAAGCTCAGCAACAGGAATGTACATGAGTGGAGAATAGATATTGTATTCAGCGCCGCTGTGTTTGAGGGACTGAAGCGTGCAGGGGGGGGTCTTCACCTCACCTCACCTCACCTCACCGCTGCCCCCTCAGACTCTCAGGTCTCCTCTGCGGTAGCGGAACACCTCCAACATCAGACATCAGAGACCCTCCAGCGCTTCAGACCTCCCTTTACTGTGCAGACAGCAGAGGATCTGGAGACTGTTGTGCCATACAGACACACACACACACACACGCACACACGCAC